TCTGTCTCAAAAATAAATAAACGTTTAAAAAAAAATTAAAAAAATAAAACCACCTGCCCCTAAAAGAGCCACTTAGGCCAAGTCACGACGTGCAGCTTCATACCTAACCTAACAGCAGTTGCCCCAGAAACGTTAAGTCTTAAAGGGTCAGTCGGGAACTTTCTCATAAGCACCAAGTAGGTAATTTGTCTCCTGGGCCCTCTGCACCTCAAAGAATGAGATAATCTGCATAATAAGACTTCCTGCTTAGAGAAGTGACCTTGCGTGAGACAATCCTTTCTTTTCTTTTGCTAAGAACCTCCTTGCCCCACCCTGCTTCCCATAGAAACCTTCCATTTTGTACAACTCTTTGAGCCCCATTCGCAAATCCCTTAATAAAGCCAATTAGCTCTTCAAATTCATTCCGTTCAATTTTTGTTCTTCAGGGGCCCCTGGCTGGCTCAGTCACAGAGCAGCTGACTCTTGATCTCCAGGTGGTGAGTTCGAGCCCCACACTGGGGGTAGAGATTACTTAGATAAGCAAATAAAGCTTAAATTTTTTTTCTTTTGTTGTGCTGTAGCAGAGGAAACAAACGTGTGGAGAAAAAATAAGACAGGGTGTACGGGGGAAACCTCATCGAGAAGGTGACATTTTAGCAAAGACCTGAAGGAGACCAAGCCGTGAGCCTGGCCGATAACCTGGAGGAAGGGCACAGCAGGTGCAAAGGCCCAGAGGTGGGAATGAGTGAAACGGACATGTCTGTGTTTGAGGAGCAGCAAGGAGGCCGACGGAGGAGGCGGATGACGGCAGGGAGGTGATGTGGGCAAGGTGTGTGAGGTCTAATAGGACGTGGTGCACAACCAGTGACCCCAACTGTCATCGCGGGAGTAGGGCAGTCCCAGGCAGACCATAAGACCACGCTGCCGCCTGGGGGCCCCCAAAATCCCAGAGCAGAGCCTCCTGCCCCTCCATGTTAACGAGGTTCTTGCAGCCTTCCTGTCCCAGCCTCCTGGTCCTAACCATCGTGCAAGGTCCCCATCGCACAGGAGGGAAAGCCGCGCACGTCCCCGGGAGGCGGGGAGAGCAGCCCCTGCTGGCTCAGGGCAGGACAAGGCGCAGCTGGACTCCGGAGGCCCTAAGTTCGGGGAACGGAAAGCTGACTTGCCCGCCAGGTTTGCAAGACACTGAGAACAGGTCCCACCTGGTCCTGAGGCAGGGGGCTGCCGGGAAGGACCTTAACCCTTTCCCTAGCAACCTGCCGCTGTCTCCATGACAACTAGGGAGGGGCCCGATCCGGCCCGGCAGGTCCGGGATCCCGCAGGGGCGGGGAGTCTCGCCTTCACCGGGAGAGGAGGAACCCGAGCCGCGCCTACTAGCCCTTTAAGGGGCTCCGCCCTGCGAGGCCTCAAAGCGCCCTGATTGGCTCCGAGAGCGGCCGAGCGCAGCCGAACTTGACGCACCCGCCCGCAGTCTTCCCTCTCCACCTCCCACGCGGCCCGGCGACTACCCCAGCCAATCGCCGACCGGCGCGCCAACCCTCATCTGCATGGTCACACCCCAGGGAAAGACTGCACCCAATCCGACAACTCGAAGAGGCTGCATTAGCATGCCCGAGGCGGGGCGAGCGGCAGGGGCGGGCTCGGGGCGGTTGGTTGGAGCGTCGTAGCAGCGGAGAGGTCCGGGAAAGTTTCTTTGGAGGTGAAAACAGCCGCGGAACTCTGGGCCCTGCGAGGGGGTGGGGGCGCGGGGGTCCTGGGGCTGGGGAGAGGCCCCCCTCGGACTGGAGGAGGGTGGGCCCGGGCCTTCCGGGGGACCATCGCCCAACAAAGGATCCCCGGGGCGCCCGCCCTCGAGGGCCTCCCCGCCCCTGGATCCGG